GAAAATTGCCCTAGGGTGGCGTTGTGCTCGAGTTTCAAGTGTCTTGCACGATGTCCGGGGCTCCCCGTACCAAAATCCGAGCCCGGTGGAAGTGGAGTGCTCCAGCAAAGCGGGGGCCATGGCCATGAGGCGTGCGACCCCCCCTCTCGCGCGCGCTCATAGGCCCGGTGCGCGCCTGAACCTGGATGCAGAGGAGCTGGCGCAACTTCGAGGCTCGAACCTCGTGCGAGGTTCGCATCGGCCCATCTCAGCAGTTCTTGCATGGGTTTGGAAACGGCGTATGGTGGTAGGTTGGTGGCGCGGCTTAGGGTTGGTTTTGGGTGGGTTAGTGGGTTCAGGGTTCGTCTATAGCGTTTGCTCTCTCGCTCGTCACCTGTAGCTCTCAAGTGGCTCGTGAAGCCGGCGAGCAAGTGTTCAGGCTTCGGAGCACGGCGTCCGCCCATTGCCAGGAGCTCAATCAACCCTCTGAATGTCCGTCTTTTTGGACATGGGTGCTTCCCAAAATTGGGAACCGCTGCAGGTGACTTGGTTTCCAGTTGGCTTCCCTTTTAAAACCATTCAAAAGGGGGTCTCCCCGGCACCCATTTGGAAGTGATCGCAGTGAGCCACGTCATTTGCACAAGTCGCCCGCCGTTTTCTCAGGCATTCTCGCTGCGACTGCAGCGTCTTCCGTCAAACACCAGGCGCTGTGTTTTCTGCGGAGTGCGCCATTGCGGACACAGCATGCGTGCTTGTTTTTGTGGAAGGGCCTCGCAATGTCAACATGTTTGATGCCAACATGTTTGATAGAGCTTTTTTGTGGAAGGTTCAGCTGTTTGATGTCAACAAGATGTTTGAAGGGGCGAAATGCGGGGGCAACCGCCCTTGCAGAGGTCGCTGGAGGAGGCTGCTGCACAAGTCTCGCGAGACGTCGCAGCGGCACTGGCTGAAGGCAGTTACAGTGAGGCGAGTTTCCGTGACACGCCGCTCGCACCTCGAGGTTGGCCTCGTGGTGAACTGGGCGCACATCCAGACGCTCCAGAGGCGCTGTCTTATGGCAGACGTTGATCAACAAGTCCTGGGATGGCCACAGGAAAAGATGACTTTCGCCAAATGGGACAAGTTACGCATGGTCGTTTGTGGGCCAGGGACATTGATCAACATCCCCATGTGGGCGGCAACTAAAACGAACCTGGCCTTCGGCAGGTGCGAATGGTGGCAGCTCGCTGGGTGCAGGCGAGCTTGCTCCAGTGACCTCTGCACTTGAGCGTGAGCCGCAGCATTTAGGCGACCAGCGCAGATGCAGTGCCATCACTGGGAGTGGAGGTGGATTTGGAGGCCACATCTTCAGATGCTTTGCGGGGCTGCGCTTCTGTCTGCACAGAGGTCATTGCTAGAGAGCTGGCCAAGGCTGGCGAGCAAAGTGATCTGTCCACCAGGGGGACACACACGCACACAAACACACTTTTCCCCATGCGTTTGTTCACGAGTTCATGAAACATTTGAATTATGTCAAAGAGCTGGGAGCTGGAGTGTCATATGAGAACATAGGACCAGCGCGTTGTTTCCTTTGTTGTTACTTGACTTGGTGCCATGCGCCACCAGAAGCAAGCACCATGTCTCTGCACCAGCAACTCGCAGACGTGCATGCGCAGGCAGCCGGTCGCAGCGGGGAACTGGGATTGCTCGACTTGGCGGAGGTTATGCAGGAGGGGAGATGCACTGCAGCGGTGGTGCAAGACCTCACACCATCAGACAAAGCCTTGCCCCCTTGTGGTTCACGAGCGGTTTTCGCATTTTGCAGACATGTTCGGAATGCCAGGGTAACTTCTCCACAGAGACGCAGCGATCTCAGCATGGTGCAAGATGGGAAAGCATAAAACTCTGCGGTCCGGTCAAGCAGAGGCACGTGCATTGCAAAGGTTGCGCCTTCTGGACCTTTCATGGGGTATGCGTGGCATCGCCAGCGAGGCCACGTTTGCTCAAGAAAGATCTGCACTCAGCTCATGCACTTGAGGCAATCCACGCGCAGGATCGCCGGTGTCAAGGATGTTGCGTGGCATTCTCAGATCACGTAAGCCAGCCCATTGCACCTCTTTCAGATGGAACAACACTCTGAAATGTGCAGGGACATAAATTTTCGTGTAAACGAGGGGGATGAGTTTATTGATGGCTGATAAGTTCCTTGTTGATACCTCACAATGGGGAAATTATGTCCACCCAAGGTTCCCCAGTTCAAATTCCTAGCCTCAGGTGCCACTAGCTCAGTGCCGTTCATGCTGCGATCGAGCCCTTCGCCTTTGTGGCGATAAGACGCACGGCAGCAGACGCAGGGCTAGGGCCATGCGCGAGCGATGCAAGCAGGGGTTCAGTATTGGAAAGCCAAGGGCGGCTTCTTCCGTTGCTGGATGGTACTCCACACATCCTCACCTTTTAGCCGTGGAAGGGCAACGAGTCAGCGCCATCGCACGAGAGCCAGGCAGGGGTTGCCGTTAACTATGCACAAGATTTTGCCTGCGCCAAAGAGGACTTGCAACCTTGCACTACTGCGATGGCGTGGTCTCAGCTGATATCCAGGCCGTGGGAGGTACATCAGTTTGCTAGGTGCAACGCACCTGGGCCAGGTTCAAATCGCACGACCTGGTCAGCTCATGGCCGAGAGCCCTGAGGCAACCGAGCGCTGCCTTGTTATGCGCAGATGTGTGTGTGTGTGTGTGTGCAGGTTGGGCCGTCAGACCTTCTCTCGCAGAGGAACATTTCCAACGAGGCTCATGGCATGGTCTTGAACGCAATGTCAACTGTGGGCTCCTGAAGGAGCTTGAGACTGAATTTGGTCTTGATCACAGATGCTTAACAGCTTGACATGTGCACACAAACAAATACAAAGCCAGCCAGCCAACAGACGAACAAACAAGCAAACGAGTGAACAAGTAAACAAAAGAGCGAACAAACAATTGATGAAGAACAAGCAACTACCCCAGCCAGACAAGCAAGCAACCAACCAGCCAGCCAACCAACCAACCAACAAACAAACAGTTAAACAGTATGTTCGTATGTGCATACTTCACAAATACATGAAGAACCGGGTACGGAAGACAGACAAACAAGAAAAGAGATGCATATAGGCAGACCACAAACAAGAACCAAGCACAACAAGAGCAATCAAGCAAGCAGGCAGGCAGGCAAGCAAGCAGGCAGGCAGGCAAGCAGGCAGGCAGGCAAGCAAGCAAGCAAGCAAGCAAGTAATCAAGTAAGCAAGCAAGTAAGTAAGCAAAGCAAATGAAGAAGCCAATGCACAAGCAAACGTTTAAACAAGCAGGCAATCAACCAAGCACGTAAATAGGCAGGCAAACAAGCAAGCAAGCAAGCAAGCAAAGCAGAGCAAACTAAAGCAAGGCAAAAAGCCAAGCAAGCCAAGCAAGCAAGCCAAACACACACACACAAGACAGAAAAGTAACACATATGCACAAACTCGCGCACACAACACACACACGCACGCACGCACGCACGCACGCATGCATATAGATATAGATGTATACCTATTGGAGATGCGCCTCTACAATTTAGTGGTGTCGATCAGCGACAGGTGTTGGCTGATCATGAGTGCAGAGATGGATAGCTTGCCATACTTTCAGAAAGACAACGTTCATGAAATCCATCCAGCTTGCCGTGCTGCATGCTGCATTCTGCAGGTCAATTCTTCAGACCTCCGAGTGAAATTTCGCGCATTCCGCGAGGCGCTTGCCCATGCATGTTTAGCATCTTTTGCGTGTGCATGAGGAAGGGCCAATTGCAGAGATGCAGGGAGGTCCCAAGATCGACCTGTTTCAGATTGCGTTTCAGGGTAAACCAAAAAAGGGAAGCACGCCATTCCAGGGTCCCCCCGCCAGAAGAGCTATGCGAAGTGCGGTTCAAGCGCTTCAGGGCGGTGCTCTCGAAGCTGATGACGAGCTTCGGCGGGGAGCTTGGGATTCGATGTGAAGGAGTGCCAGAAGCCCTCATTGAGTGCCAGAACCCCTTACTTTCATGAAACTGAAACAGCTTTGATTCGCTTTGCGTTCAATGATTCGCAAGAAAGAGAGTCTGAGCCGCAAAGGTCCAGCCCTTTCCTCGCCCAAAACCTGCAGCTGCAATGTGAGCCGACGGAGGCGCTTTCCACTCGGAGCCGAGTGGGCGAGGTTTTTGGATGCCCATGCGGGGCCCGAACTCAAAATGGCCAATCGATTCCGACACTGTAAGCGAAGCGGGGAACGCAGGTGCAACATGAATTCAGAACGAGAGCACGGAGAGAGAAAGAGAGAGAGAGAGAGAGAGAGAGAGAGTGGAAGAGAGTGCAGGCGGCAATGCAGGAGTTCTTCAAGTTCAAGGCCAGTGTTTCCCTAAAGATTCCCGGGTACTTCAAACAAATCCCTTCATTTTTTTAGTAGGCTGCTGCAATCATTTCCCGCAAGGCCAACCGCGACAGTTGCGTGCTGGAGCCAAGACTACCTTCGGGGGCAGCCTTGCACAGGCACCTTGGTTTGCTCACTGGAATCCAGCAGTCAAGTTGATCCTTCACAAAGGGGATGCCTGTTTGGACCTGTTCTGAGTAGAGAGGACGTGTCCCGAGCAGGGCACACGTTCTGAGCACGCGGGTCGAAAGTATGGGACATGGCCATGGGTCAAAATCCAAATCGTACCCCCAGTGAACATCCCAATCCCCGCTAAAATAGGTTCAAACTTGGGTCTGCCCCAAAATGGGATTCCATTGGCTTTTTGGCTTTGACCCACCGCCACAGGCTTTTGGAGCAATCCACCCCATGTTTTTTGCATCGCGAGGTTGGCTCCCCAGCAGATTGGCTTGCGGGCGTCCTTGAACGGCAGCTCAAGCAGAGGCGAAGCGCCTGTGTCGGGTATGAATAGAAATCAGGACTTTTGGTCACCAATATTCAGTGGACGTTGACTGTACACGGGGATTTGTGTCCACCAACCATTTTCGAGGGTTCCACTCAAACTCAAGGCCTTTTCAAGTAGCGACGCCCCTGGACCTTTGGTTTTCTCGGCTCGTGGAGTTCGCAGGTGCTACGTTGGAGTGGCCGTTTCTGCCGCGCTTCGTGGTGGTGCAGGCAGGACGGACCGCTGCAGCACCGATCCGTTGATCCGAGCTCCAGGCCGAAGCTCCGCTTTCTCCACGGCAGCCGTGTGCCACGCTGACCACCTCTCACCCAAGTGCCACCGCTTCTTGGCCCATTTTCTCGATAAACCGTGACGAGTCAAATCATTGAGATGCTTAGGTTCTGGTTTGGACCGGAGGTTATCACATTGAGGCTGGATGAGAAGCTTGCGAGTTGTTCTACCTTCTTTGATTGCTGAATGCTTCAATTTGGCTGTGTGAATGGGGCTCACCTTCCTGATTCCACAAGGGTCGGTGGACATGAACCCCCAACAGGGTCCAATAGTACAGTTTTTAGTGAACTATAGCCTTTTACTAACCTACCTTGCGCGCAGGCAAGCCTCGAGGGTCAGATCAGAAGCTGGAGAAGAGGGAACTTGTCATTGGAGGCGCCGCGGGATCTTGCACTGGCAAACCGGCCCGGCCGTCGCGAGTCGCATGCTGTGTTCGGCAGGTCGCGCCTTCCAGAGAGTCTGGACCTCTTCCGTCCAATGGAAGCCAGGGTTTTGGGAGACCATGGGCCTGCTTTCCATCCCAATGGAAGTGGAAGACAATGCTTTGGGTCTCCCCTGGCCTCATTATTTTGCTGACCCCCTAAGTGATGGGTTAAAGGGAAACAACCCCATGTTACAACTTTGATAACCCCTATATAGAAACGGTCAAAAATTCTGACCCCAGCTCCCCTGTCCACGATGGGATGGGCCATGTGCGGTGCATGTGGCAAATCACTTGCGCACTGTCGTCCGAGGCCACGGACTTCGATTCGAATCACGTGGCACGGGGCAGTGGAGTGGGATGTGCCTGAGGAGGCGGGATGTAGGGAAGATCGAGGGGTCAACCGAAAGGCCTGGGGTTTTAGGTGGATTTTGTTGGACTGGGCCCTTGATTTGTGTATGTGCCATGAAGAAAACCCAAAAAAAACGGGTGGGTTGCCTTTCAGTTTCCTGGTTACCACCCAAGAACCGGCTGGCGCCGCTGTTTTACGCCGGGTGACTGGCAGGTGCCGCTGCGCATCTCGATGGCGAGCGGCCAGGTCGAGACCTGCCGCGTGCGGATAGAGCCCAGCCAGGCGCAATCGAATTCGAAGATCGTTCGAAGTGGAGGGCCCTTTTGGGGCCCCAAAGTGCCAACTTGGATACGTGGAAAGGTGCCATGTTCTCCAGATGCTGGCGGCTGGCCCTTGCCTTTGTGAAGGTTTCAGAGAGTTGAGAGTTGGGGGGTTACTCCGAGGTCGCTTCTGGAGATGCTCTTTATTCTTTTAGCCATGGCGGCGCTGCTTTGGCTTTTGCTGAGGACGCGCTAAATGGGTTGTGTTGTTGCTCATTTTCTCCGTGGGACCGTTGATTTGGGTCATGTTGAAAGGGAAACCAAGGAATGCAAACAACCTGGCGTCGCCATTGGCGCTCCTGATTTGCAGGATGTGTGCGCGACCACCGCCACAACATGGCATCGGTGATGCTTTCCAGGGTGTTGGAGCTGGGCCAGTCTTCGGCAAGGAGCTCAGGGTCAACACGACGTTAAAGTTGATCGCCTGTGCCATCATGATTTTGACCGTGGGATTTCTCAAAGTCAATATGCCGCTGTGTGTTTGTTGCCGCGAAATGCGGTTGTGCATTTCGGCGGTGCAATTCGCTGCTCATTCGCCCCTGCTTGTTCTGCCTATGAAATGAGTGACTGGGTGACTTTGGCAGAATCTCACGCGGCGGGTCTTAGGTGGAGATCCATTCGGAGGCCCTCATGCTGTCTCGCCCTTCCGAGCGCTTGGCACGATGCCCAGAAGACATCAGTCGGTTCCATTCAACAGGCGGATGTCTTGACTCTTGTCAGGTTGATGATCTTTGATCAAGCGACCCCAACGTTAAACTTATAGAAACATGTATATTGTATAACGCAATACAATCAAGCAACCAGCAACCAGCTAGCATCCAACCAAACAATCAAACAATTAATCAATGAATGAATGAAACAATGCACCACATAATCAAACCATCTATCGATCGATAGATCTATGAATCTTTAAAACGCTGAACATAACACCCCGAAATTCCCTATAAAACATCCAATAATTCGTAAAGTTTTTATTATTTATTTTAAATACATTTTTATTAGTTATATAATTAGTATGGATTGGGTTTTATATAAATTTGTGAAATGATACGATGATTGTTGAGGATTAGGTTAGGGCTTAGCGAACACGGCGTTTTGTGGGGTTTATTTTGGGAGTGTTTTTTTGGGTTTTGGGTTTTGTTAAGGTTTTTTGAAATTATTTTTTTATTTAATTATTCGTTAGCTGATTTTATTGTTCTGAAAGATTTATTTATGATTTTTTGTTTTATTTGGCATTGATTTTAGTGGTATGGTTGTTTATT